TAATTTTGTGGATTAAGGAACCAACATTGAGTTGGTGTGAGCTTGAAGCCGAATCCTGTCCTACTACCTCACTTTTGGCTTTGCTTACATCTACATTACCCAGCCGGCCGACACAATACTCGAATAACCCGATAGTTGTTTCCACCCTAAGAATATGGTCCCAATTCAGAAGTGCTCATGGACTTCATGGATCCTCTATTCATAGTCTCATTCGCAACAACCATCTCTTTCTCCCCCCTTACACTGATGGGGCCTTATCTATGTGGCAGAGATTAGGCCTTATCAGAGTAAAGGCCCTGACACACCAGGGCGAAATCTGCCGTTTTTATTAGTCGGACGACGAAGCGTGCCCTGTCGCCCAAACTCAATTTGGTGTGTCCCGCACCGTCGGCCGTGACACGCCTTATTTGGCCTTTCATGGCCGACGCACGGCAGATTCAACATGTTGAATCGGCCGTGAGTCGGCCACAGGCAGTCGGACAAAGAAATCACTCTGATTGGCTGTTCAGCTAGCGAATCAGTGCATGAGAAGCAAAACGGTTGCTTGAGAATGTCTTCCACAAGCAACACTCCAATGGCTGATAACTCCAGTACCGCACGAAACATGTTTTCGATGGACGAGAGTGAAAATGGAACGCACACGCTATTTCTTGTTTGTTTAGATCACGCAGTCTGTTCTTCTTCTCTGTCTTCCGGTTGTTGCCTCTTTTGAATGACGAATGCACACTATCGCCGCCCGCTGGTAAGGAGAGTTATTGCCACTCACGCATTCGCAGTTCGTACGTGCTCGGCTGAAGTCTTTGCGGTGTGTTCCAGTGCGACACATGGCCAAGACGCAGGAGAACACACCAACGCAACAGTCGGCGTCAGTGTCGGCGAGTTCTCTGGTGGCTGCCTGGTGTGTCAGGGCCTTAAGGGACCTTTACATCAACAATGTTTTCGGTAGCTTTAGCCAACTCCCTGACAAATGTAGCCTCCCAGAATCTATTTCGTTACTTCCAGGTCCGTAACTGGGTTGAACTAAATAACCCTTCCTTCCCCAATATCCCTCCGGATTCAATAATTGACTCAATTCTGGACACTTTAACAACCTAAAAAGGTCTGGTTTCAAGAATTTACAATTCCATCTCCTGTATCACAGAAACATCTCTTGGTAAAATCAAACAAGATTGGGAAGAGGAACTATTCCAAGCAATAGATGATGATATCTGGGATGGCGCATTAGCGAGAGTGAACAATAGTACGACCTGTTCCAGGCTCAATCTTACAATCTTATACAACTTAAAGTTGTCCACCGTATCTACTACACCAACTCTAAACTCTCCAAAATATACCCTAATGTCACGGATACCTGTAACAGATGTCACATGTCACCAGCAAACATGATTTATATGTTTTGGTCTTGTCCTCGCCTACAAGGATACTGGACAAGCATTTTCAAACACCTTGCTGAGGCCTTGGACGTGGTATTGACACCATGTGCAGAAACTGCCATTTTTGGAGTACTACCTGGCCACCGAATGATGAGGAGGAAAACTAAGGACAGTATAGCCTTTGCACCTCTATTAGCACGTAGAAGAATACTCCTAGAATGGAAATCCTCAATAGCACCTAAAGCATCTCTATGGCTTAAAGATCTAATGTTATACCTGAACTTGGAGAACATTAAATATAACCTGAGGGGCTCTTTAGAAATGTTTGAATCTGTCTGGGGCTCTGTCATAGCCTACATAGCTGAACTTAAGACACTAAGTTAAGAAGAAAGGGGGGGACTATGAATGTTTTTTTTTATTTATATATATATACATGTATGTATGTACGTACGTGTATGTGTATATGTGTGTATGTATGTGTATGTAAATGTGTGGGTATGGGTGTAGGTATGTACATATATTAAAGCAATAGCTCACGACAGGCCGTGGTATATGCTCATCACAGCTAAGGGGCGTGGTTCGGCCCGACGCGAAGCGGAGGGTCGACAACCCTCTTAGCTCTTAGCTTAGCTTTTATAAAACGGTTACCAAGTGTGGGAATATGAAAGAAAAATACACACTCTAATTTAAATAGTTTTTATTAGTAAATAATGATGTTCAAAATAAAATAGTCCCTCCGTTGCCTTCTGCACGAAACATAGTGCGAGGTGGTTGCTATGCAACAACACTAACAGCTAGCGAACATATTGATCCATTATTTGGCTATTTATTTACATTCATTTGTATGTTGCCGTTTATTGTGCACCCACTGAAAAACTGTCCAGAATCAGTAGAATGGCTTACGTGGTTACTTGTATAGGTTGAGGTTGTTCTAGGCTGTTGATTGGCGTGGCGAGAATATTGCTCCACTTTCTCCGGTCCCCGAGATTCGGCTTCCAGCAGCTCTGGAGACAGCTGCTGGAAGCGGTCATAATTTCTCTGCTTTGTTTCAAGACCCGCATCAGAAAGCTTTTGAATGGTGGTACTTTTCCAGTTGGTCTACCTGCTCTTCACGTAGCTCTGCATGTCGTCGTTTAGGTGCTTTCTTTTCTGGAGATAGGCACTGCTCAATCCACTCCTCCATAGTAAGACCCCCCCGGAGGTCGAAGTTAATCTTAAATGTTTCCATCTTATGCTTTGTAAGTTTGTTTGGTAACGGAAGAAATGTAAATATATTTATAAAACTGACAAGTCAAATCAAGCAATCTGATTGGTCGATAGCGTTTTTGCGGACCTCTTTGATTACAGATTTGAAAAGATCTTTAAAAAAACTTGCTTTAAAAGTAGCACAATTCATTATGTCAAACCTTGGAAAGTATCTAGATATCCCTGCCCTAATGCCAAAGGAACTGCACACTGAATATGTTTTGCCGTTTGATGTCTATGTCTGGACCTCTGCGTAAAAAAGGAGGGTTTCTGCCCCGTTACTTCTCCGCTGCTTTCTTGTTCCAGTCTGAAGGAAAGGAAAAATACAGACCGTATAAATGTAACTCATTGTGCCAAACTCAATAAAAACATTTTTTTTTAAAAAAGAAATCCACAGCATTTCAAGTCAAGCACTTCCTAATGTACCGTCCAGAGATGTTCTGACTTCCCTTTTGGAGAACCCCCCCCCCCCTTTCCAATAATCAATCATTTATCATGATATCAAATTTGATCAAATTATAATTTTGGCAATCATGGTTTGTATTCAGCGTTGAAAACCTAGCTTGTTGTTTTCGCCCTGTTTGGAAATGGTATGAAAATGGCACTTTCAATCATGGAAAGGTTTGTGTATTTGAAAAGGTATGTGTATATAGAATTCAGATACATTTAACTATTTCAAAGACTGTTGTATTAAGATACAGTTACAGTGGTAGTGGCTTCATGAACAGTCCTTCATGTCATAATAATTATAATGTGTGTGAAGTGTCTGATACTTTTAATATGCTTGCAACGTGATAACATAATCCTCTGAACATTCAAACTGTGTGAAAGACTAGTTGTTTTGTGTGTGCGTGTGTGTGTGTGTGTGTGTGTGTGTGTGTGTGTGTGTGTGTGTGTGTGTGTGTGTGTGTGTGTGTGTGTGTGTGTGTGTGTGTGTGTGTGTGTGTGTGTGTGTGTGTGTGTGTGTGTGTGTGTGTGTGTGTGGCCTTCTACATGTGCATGAAATTGTGTTATTGAGGATTAACAAACACCCTGAAAACTCAGTTGGTCAATCCAGTGGCGAGCCGTGACTTTTATACCTAGGCCCTCTGACCCCCCCTTCCCTCCCTTCCCAAAAAAGAAGAGATATTATGTCACAGCGTATACTTCAGCGGAATATCAAAACAACGGCCCGGGGTGCAAAACGCATCAATGACAGCGACCCTCTACCACACAGAACAACACCATTTATATAAACACCTATCATGACAGGGCACCCACAGCCAAGTAACAATTACAAATGAATTAAGTCGGCACGGCGGCCCACATTGAAAATGACTTTGATGATCAAATCACCGAAACACAAAGTCCATCCTCCTGTCCTTTTGGATGAAGCACTTGATGGCGGGTCATGCAGCTGATCCTTTGCCACTCCAGTTTATCATTGTAACTCAATCTTGAAAATGACTCGGTTAATAATTTCACAACGATGTCATCACTATCACTGAAGTGAGCCATCATGAACGAACTTATGCTAATCATAAATCTATCGATTAGATTTATGATTCGAATATTATAAAAGTAGGGTAGACATGTGGATATTACCCGGCTGAACAAAACGTGCATTTATTTAACAGGTTCGTTCCACAGACCTTATTTTGAGCTATTTTCCAAAATCCTATGGAGAAATCCCATTGCTTTTGTGTCGAGGGAACCAGCAGCTTACTACCGGGTTTTAGGATGCGTCACTACACCACTCTATAACACACTTCACAGCGGGTGGAACTTGTCATAAAGTCCGCGATAATAAAGCCCACCCATTTAGAGGGAAGATATGATTGCTCAATTGTACTGTCATTTTACATTACTCTCTCGTTCAGTTACCCTAGCTGGCCCTCTGTGAATTCATAGCTGGACCACCAATCAGCTCCTATCTTCACAGTAACTCGCAGAGACGGCCAAAAGGAGAAGCTGAACAGGCAGATTTGAAGGATTTATTTATTTGGATATGTTATTTTAAATACAATTAAATCAAGTTATTTTGGTAAAACTAATGAAAAATAAAAATAAATTATCTTTTAAATTTTTCTTGTTTTAAATATCTTAGGCCCTAGACGGTTCGCCACTGGGTCAATCCCAAATGTTGTATTTTGTAGACTTTGTAAACTTTCCTCCCAGATGAACACATTGGCCATACTTAAAACTAGATGACATCAACAAATACAGTTAGCCTACAAATCAATGCTCTGTGGTTTGCAGCATGCAGACAGGTTGACCCCCAGGTCAACCTGTCAAACTCCTGGGTCAAACTCCTGGCCTGATTTATTTTTGTTTCAGTCTGCCACTACTTAACAGACAGTCCTTTACAAACATTTCAGATGTGCTTCCTGTCAGTGGACTCACGTTGTAGAGGATCTCTACCCATCCCTCCATGGTGATGCACTGGAACACAGTGAGAATAGCGAAGAGGATGTTGTCGAAGTTAGTGATGCCGTAGTTGGGTCCCGTCCAGTACTCCTTGCAGATGGTGCCGTTCTCGCAGGTCCTGGCCGGAGCCTCCAGGCCGCAGGGGAAATCTGCCACCTGTTCGTCTGCAGCAAACACACAGTTCACACACCGTCACAGACACAAAACACAATAACATGCCGAAGTATTTTTAGAGAAGGCAGTGGATGTATTATGTAAAAGTGCTTCTCGTTATACAGTAGATTCAGAAGAACATTCCATCTAATGCACAATATATAGTTTCCACTGCAATGATACATATAGTGGCAACATTTAAGCGAGCACTTTTTACATATTTTGAGTAAAGCCCTTTGTGGATAAATTGTGATTTGAAAAATTACTCAACTCGATATAGCCTATACTTAAATGTAAGCACAGTTTATCATCAGCAGCAGGAGAGGTCTGATGCATCTACAAAATGTCACCTTCTAATACAGAAGCATATACATCCCTTTGTCCCTGAACCAGATGCAGACATCACAGACAGTTAAAGACAGGGATACTTTAGAGTTTTTTTTTTAATCTTTAATAAAGGCAAAGGCATTTAGTTATTTTTAATCTCTTGTAATATACTACTGTCTCTTACAGTATTCCCATAATCTGCCAATAATGGAATGGCTGTTGTGTATGCACCTTGTTTTGTTATTGTTATTGTGAAGTTATTGACAGCTGGAGGACGGCAGACAAAGGAGCACAAATGAATGGAGTTTGACGGCACTGTACAAAGAATTAAAGAATGCCTGGGTCAGCAGTGTGTCCATAAGCCATTACATGGGGATGATTAATATAAATGTACATATAATAACCATGCCTAGATTCACATTGTGAGCGTGTGTGTCCCTTGCTGGTCTCTAACTCACCGGTGTCTATCCTGAAGCAGGTGCGATGGAACTTTCCCATGTAGAAGTCGAGGCCGATGATGGCGAACATGAGGATTGCGAAGAAGAGCAGCAAGCCGATCTGCAGCAGAGGTACCATGGCCTTCATTATGGACTTCAGTACCACCTGCAGACCTGGTGCAGACAAGGGAAAGATGCATTTCAAAACTGACATTTAAAAAAATTATTAATTTATATTGTGTTAGCCTTTATTGGAGAGAGTAGGGACAGACGGGAAACACCACATGTTAAGACTGATCAATCAGTGTGACATTGTGTTCATGTTACCAGATTCCTGATTGGTCGTGGTATTATTTATGTTTTTGTTTGAACTAATCAGAAGAAGCAATACATCCTGCCAACATGATTTCAAGTCGGCAATGGGTTCTGCCAACAAAGCTCTCATTGGTGGATTGTTTCTCCAGCTGAGGGAGTCATTAATGGGCACAACACGAGACATATTATAGACATTCTCTTGATTGAGTTAATGCTATAACATATTGCGTGAACATAAAATACATTTTAACAGTTCCCTTGGTTGTTACTTATGAAAGCATTTGACATGAATACATATAGCGAGTACCTGGTGTTTACATTCATGTGAGACCGACTATGTCTCTTAGAAAAGCAGGTTTTATAGTACTGAATTCATTTGTCATTATCATTTTCCTGATCTTTTACATAATCAGAACATCTTGTTCTTGTTTATATTTACAGGAAACTTTTCTTTTTTCTATAATAGAATGAGACGCTTCATGTATCTGGATGGCAGGTGTACACCAGAGTGGTTCTCTGTGGTTTGCTTTGGGCACTTTGGTTTAGGTGGGGACACGACTGTGATCTGTTACTGAGTCAGTTACATTTAGTATCAACCTTTTTCTGACTTTTCAGGTATAATAATTAACATCTTCTCTTTGTGCTAATAGAAAACTGTTCAGTGTTTTTATGTAAAACCATATGTGTGGGGAGCCTTCATATATAAGTGTAAGACACTGGGAAGGTGAATGTGATGTCAATTTGAGCCAACAGATACTGTAGCATAAAGACAAAGTTTGTTTTATGTCAAACATTTTGACTTATTATTATGGGAGGAGCACAGTTGTACTTGCTAACATTAAATATGTTTTAATAAAGGGTCTGTATATCAGCTGTAATTGATTTTTATCCAAATCAACTACCCAATACGAACACTAGAATAGCCCTTATTCAAACCATTAGGGTCAGAAAATATTATCGAATATATTAACCTAATATCTTTGAATCAGCTAAATTAACTGAGCTGATCATAATCATATTTCTTATTGTGACCTATATGTCACATTATGTTTGCTGTGACATTTGAATGTTAAAGTCCCGATATGACATTAATGTCACAGCATTATGCATCTTATTTGTTTCATATCAATTTGATCAACAGGTTAAATGTAATAGAGGACATGTTATGTATGCATTATAATTATTAAATGGCTTGAATCTGACCTTTAGCAACAAAAAACAAGCTTTTAAAATGTAGCTAGTTTTGTCACAGGCGGGGCTTAAGGAAAAAGTGAGTGGGCACTCTCTTTGAGCCCAGATCAGAGAATTATTGTTCTAGAAAGCCAGGCCCTTTGGCTTCAGATGCCACTGCTCTGAGTGTGAGAGGACAACTTCAATGCCTCTCATGTCTGTTCTTTATTACACCACACAAGTATTTGGTTGATTTCCCCTAAAATACAAATTCTTATTGCGATTGACACAATCTCTTTTTAATCTTTTTTAATCGGCAGCACTATTATTATTAGTAGTATTTTACAGAGGTTTAGGTAAGAATATATGAAATATCTTTGTTTAAACTTTTATAAGGTTACATTGTTACATATTATAATTATATATTACTTAAAGGTGGGGTAGGTAAGTTTCAGAAACCGGCTCGAGTGCACTAAAATTTGAAAGTACACAGCCGAAAAGAATCCGCCCCTTCCTTCAGACTTCCTTACAGAGCACCTCCTCCAACACACATGAACGCGCACATGACGTCAGCAGACTGGTGAAAGTGGCCGCCTGTTGCTGGCGAGTCATTGAAGTACTGCTGCAATGCACGCCCAATGACGGCACGCCCAATGAGGGCACGAGATACATTTGTGCGTGCACGAGATGGAAGGCTGACAGACAGGGCGGCAATCCAATCCGTTTAGCCGGCCCGGCTAAACGGATTGGTTGTACTTTGTACAGTATTACGGCTTCCACAGATGACATTTTTTCATGGATTTTTTGTCAAAGCACTTCAGATATTCATTGCTATCGGGATTTACATTGCACTTGATATTGAGGTAATCCAAAAGTAAGAGAAAGTAATCAGGTTACTTTCATATTGTGATACTCAGATTAGGTTACTGATTACATGTTTTGACATGTAACTAGTTATTGTAATGGATTACAATTTTAAAGTAACCCTCCCCACCCTGCAGATGAGGGAGGCTGTGGCTCAGTGGGTAGTGTGCTGAACTTCAAATCAGGGGATAGCCAGTTTGAGTCCCACTGCAGTCAGCATGTCGTTGTGTCCCTGGGCAAAACACTTCACCCCAAATTGCTCCTGTGGGGATTGTCCACAGTATTGAATGTATGTAAGTCGCTTTGGATAAAAGCGCCTAACAAATGTCATGTAATGTAAACATGTAATGACACGCAATGTTTTGTTCAGACCGTTTGCAGAAACTTGTCCTTTCACACGAGACTGCTCGACCCGCTGGAGACGCTGTAGTACATATGCCGGGCCTGTAAGTGGCGCTGTACTTCCGCCACAAAATACACCAAAAGCAGCGAAGAAGACCCCGGAGCATGGTTGCCCTTTTGTTTATGCTCCGTGGTGGATTTAGCAACATGTAGTTCATGTAGTTCTCCATGTCCACTTGTTGCTGATGGTTGTGGTAGAGGAGCTGTAGATTTTGCAGTAACTTCTGTAGCATGGTCAGTAGCAGTAGCAGTAGCTACTGACAGTAGCTACTGACCATGCTACAGCAGTGAGCAGCAGAGGTGGGGAGAGGCGGGGCTATGGCTTTATCATTATCAGGAAATGATCGTATAGGACGTATACACAGAGCCGCCCAGAGCGTTCCGTCCGCAGATCTACCCACCTTGGGACCCCATTTTGATAGGAATCTGTTTACATGTGCAGGTAACTCACTTGGAATGCCGGATACTAGTTTGAGGGGCCGCAGTACTCTCACCGCTCTTAGTGTTCTCAGATCAAAGTCTGCCCCCACAGTGGCCAGGATCCTGCACACACAACACAGCAGGGGTCAGGATTTCAGATACTTTAACAGCTGATTGTTTCAAACACATTGGCAACCAAAGATCACTACAGATGATACATGTTACACTTTAACATCATTCAGTCATCAAATCATTAATGAGGCTGGTAGACAGACTGTTAACACATGGTTTTAACAGTTGGTAAACTCATGCAAATAGTATTTTCATAGTGTTGCTAACAGTAATAACACCACAGCACAAACAATAATATGCATATATGATATTGATATTACTGGAAAGCCCAAACAGACTGAAGTTTAAAGCACTTCCATCCTTATAATGTGAATAAGTACAGTGATAGTCTATCAGGCTCTGGCATTGAATACATTGTAAAAGGAAACATAACAGGTTGAAAAGTCTTGATGGATGATATTGGATTTTTACCGTTATGCATGTTTTGCCTATTGCCGATGCAGTTACCAATATAAAAATAAAAATATTTTATTTGACTGTAAATGTATATTTTGTTGGTTGATGATGAGTTTGTGAATGCATGCTGAAGACAGACACAGAGAGAGTCAGTCTGTCCAGGCGCATTCAGATGTCTACATTGAGCAGATGTTTAAATAAAATGTAAATGTCACTCATGTGAAGAGGATGGAGGAGTTCTCGGCTCATGAGATCATGCAAGTGTTTGTAATCCCGTAGCATTACAAGCTCCTCAGAATGTAAAGGCAGTCATAAAATGTCTTGTTTGTCTTTAAGGAGCTTTATCAAGCCTGGAAATAACATGATGTCATTATTAGTGCGAATGCTGTGCCACAGCAATCCACTATAGTTCTTCAAATTTGTATTAGTGTGAATGCTGTTTATGGAAAACCTCTCCTACGTTGAAACATTTAAAAAAATTAAGAAAAAATATTAAACAAAATGCCTCTTGAGGGCATGAAGAGTTATGAACTTGTCAAAAAGTCCACCTAGCTCCCAATAGACTCCCATGTTAAATGTGTCTGGTTCTTTCTTCAGAACAGAGAGAAGTCAACTTTAAACAAACTGCTCCCATCTCCACATTTACCACACAAAACCCCCCAAAAAAACATATATCAGTTCATTGGGGTTCCCTGATGCTCACGGTCTGTTAATTTTTTGATAGGAGCTATAGTTTTTGAACAGGTGGCAAAATTGTCAGATATGATCCTCAATGCATTCTTAATGGGACTCAGTTCTGCAGTTGATAATCATGGTGTTGCTGGGCAGATTAAAAACTTTGATCTCTGGGCTCACACAGGTGTTATGATTATTTATTATGATTAGGTGCTCAGCACAGAAACAAACACTGACAAACACACTAGACCAGGGGTGCCCAACCAGTCGATCGCGATCGACCGGTCGATCGCGGGGAGATTCCCAGTCGATCGCGAGATGTGTCTAAAAATAGAACAACAATATTCTGTTTTATCGTTAACATCCTATAACATAATCTTCCTGTGCCAGAATAATGCACATGAACGCATCAAAGCTTTGTGATTGGCCGGCGTGACCCCATGTGTGGGGGCGTGGCTGGTGGGCAGTGGGCACTAGTTCGCTGACGTTGTCCGTGTCAACAGGAGTCACAGTCCGCACACACACAAGACAGCAATTATGGCAGAAGCAAAAAAGCCCAAAATATATAATTTTCACTCCGAGTGGGAGGATGATTATTTTTGTATCTATTCCAATTCAAAGTCCATCTGTCTCATCTGCAATGCGAGCGTGGCTTTATCGAAGAAGGGTAATTTAGGAGCGGCATTTCAAAACAGTGCACAAACGCTACGAGACGGAATTCCCTCCTAATTCTGCCCTACGCTCCAAAAGGGGAGGGGCCTGAAAGGACAGCTAAATGCACAGCAGTCCATTTTCACCAGGCCCAACAACAAGAGCAAGGCTGCTACCAAAGCATCTTATCGTGTCAGTCACGTTCTTGCGAAACACATGAAGTCTTTCAAAGATGGCGAAGTTGTGAAAGAAGCATTCCTGGAGGCTGCAGATGCGCTTTTTGGGGACAGTAAAAATAACAGTAGCATTTCAACAGGTTTTTGATATAATAAAAACTCAAGTTAGATACCGTTATTAATCAGCTGTAAGTTTTAGTTTGTTTGAACTTATTCATTATAATTATTATACAATATGGTATAAGAATGCACACATTAAGATCTGTTCTGTTTAAATTGAGTATAGTCTATTATCAATTCAGGTTAAGAAACTAGTGTTGCTTGCATCCTATTTTAAAAGGCATTTATTTTTATACTCTACTAAAATGCAACAAAAAAAGGGTTTGATTCTATTCATGTTGTCTTTGTATTGCACTTTGGCAGCAGATTCCTGTGCAGCTTCAGATCTGAGTTGTTTTATTAGTAAGCCTAATTTATACTTTTGTATCAACACTATTTTTATATAATGGCAAAGAAAGGGTTCAGTGTATTTTATTTTTCTCCTGTGTCATATGTGGCAGCACTGTTCAATGTTTCTTGAAAACATTACCCACTGTAGTGACGTGTGAATAAACTCCAACTCCGTATCAACAACACTGTTGTGTCACTTCAGTTAAATACTTGTATGTGTGTAGATTAGAAAGAGGTAAAATAAAGGATCTGCAGTATTTTATGAAGTATTAATCGTACAAAGGTCCGTTTTATACAAGTCAAAGTGTGTATTTACCTGGTAGTAGGCTGTCAGTAATGGCCACGCCTCTCTATTTGGACTGGTAGATCTCGGCAGACTGGCAACTTTAAAAGTAGCTCTCGGTTCAAAAAAGGTTGGGCACCCCTGCACTAGACTGTCTCAGCCTATTATTTTCTGTCTGATAGAGACTTCATACTGACTTCAACATGTTCCACATATTTTATACATTATTGGTGACGTATGGTTTTAGTCGAAAAGTTTGCAGTCAAAATATTCTGCTGCTTTCCCAAGCCTTTTTACTTTATTTTCTCTTCCTAATACAAATTAATTCACTACTACTTACATCTGATATGTAACTCCTTCAGCCTACTTTCAGCTACAGAAACCATTCAACTATTACATTATTCAGCTATTTCAGGACATTGAGGCTGTACATGTTGTTGTTTATACCTTTTTTAAACATTTTATTTTAAATATTAAGCTTCTTCACTATTTTTCCTATTCTTCCAGTTAAACATTTAACTTTCAAGTTTTCAACAAAGTCGTTGCAATGCATTTGAGCTGTAACAATTTTGATTCAAATAATTTCACCCTTCTGCATTTCTCCGCTGAGTTTTCCCACGCTCGGACATATGTCTGCGGGGGGGGTTCAGCACACCTCCCACGCCAACACTACAAGTCGTTATTTTTCATTTGCCTATGAATGCCAAGTTTACTTTCATTTAAGGCAACCAGACCAGATCCTTTTTGGACCCTTTTTAGGATTTTGCAGCTTTAATTTGAAGATTATACTACTGTATTAATTGAACTACATTACTCTGAAAATCTGATATGTTAAACATGCCTAAGGCAAGGCAAGTTTATTTATATAGCATCTTTCAACACAAGGCAATTCAAAGTGCTTTAAAAAAATGAAAAACATTAAGAAAATGGCATTTAAAAACAGTAATTAAAAATTAAAAATAATAAAAGAAACATTAAAATAAAAAAATGCATGGAAAAGTTACAGTGCAGTTTAAGGTATGAATAGTTTAATTAAAAGCAGCGGCAAAAATAAAAGTCAGCCTGGATTCAAAAGTAGTCAGAGTTGCAGTGGACCTGCAGGTTCCTGGTAGTTTGTTCCAGATATTTGAAGCATAATAACTGAACTTCTCCATGTTCAATTCTGACTCTGGGGACAGAAAGCTGACCAGTCCCTGAAGACCTGAGAGTTCTGGATGGTTAATAATTTAGCAGTAGGTCAGAAATGTATTTTGGGCCTAAACCGTTCAGTGCTTTATAAACCAGCAGCAGTATTTTGAAATCTATTCTTTGACACACAAGAAGCCAGTGTAAAGACTTCAGAACAGGAGTGATGTGATCTACTTTCTTAGTGTTATTGAGGACTCGAGAAGCAGTGTTCTGAATTAGCTGCAGCTTTCTAATAGATTTGTTAGTGAGACCTGTAAAGACACCATTACAGTAGTCGAGTCTACTGAAGATAAAAGCATGGACAAGTTTTTCTAAATCCTGCTGTGACATTAGTCTTTTTAATCCTCGATATATTGTTAAGGTCATAGTATGCTGACTACCATGACTACACCTACATTTCTGGCTTTATCTGTTGTTTTGAACATTGCAGACTGAAGCTCAGAGCTAACTTTGATACGTTCTGCCTTGGCTCCAAAAACCATTACCTCAGTTTTATCTTTGTTTAATTGGAGAAAGTTCTGACACATCCAGTCATTGATTTGTTCAATGCAGTGTCTGATTTGGAGCATAGTCTCCTGGTGAAATGGTTATGTAAATGTATGTGTCATCCGCATAGCTATGGTAACTTATTTTGTTGTTATTCATTATCTGAGCCAGTGGTAGGATGTAGATGTTTAAGAGAAGAGGCCCCAGGATGGAGCCTTGAGGAACCCCACATGTCATATTTTTCAACTCAGATGTGTATTTACCTATAGAAACAACATTTTTGCTGTCCTTTAAGTAGGATTCAAACCAATTTAGAACTGTTGCCGAAAGTCCCACCCAGTTTTCCAGTCTGTCTAGTAATATGTTGTGGTCAACAGTGTCAAACGCAGCACTGAGATCTAATAAGTAATACGTTCTGTGCTGTGGTTTGGCCGAAAGCCAAGTGGAAGTTGGAAGTTACCAGGCTGTTTCTACACGGACCACTATTGCGGTAAGCATGTTGTAACTTCCGGTTGTTGTTGTCATCTCCGGGTATCCCGTGTGCCTGTTCTGTTGCTGATAGCTTATTATCTTAACTTAATCGATCGTTTTAAAACTCTTGATCACGGCAACTGCCTGACGTTGTAATCACACGTTACCACAGCTTAAGCACTCACAACTCTCCTTCTCTTAGCGACTGTAACTCC